GCTAAAGCCCCATAGGTGCAGTGCACCAGAACAACAAATGTTGCCAATGAAGAGAGACGTAGATCAAAAGGACGAAACTTGTAGACACACAATCAAAGATGACCGAATACTAGATCCAAACATATCCATCGAAGACTAGCACCGAACGAATCACGCGAGACCCGATAGAGACACACCACCACATGCCCTCTAACAACGGTAGCCACATCATCAGGATAGAGATCGGACGTGAAAGACACCGTTCCTTACTAAGGGACATCGTCGCCACACAACCCTAACGAAGATACTGAACCAAATAAGAACGAGAGTTTGCGTCCATCCTACTGGCAAGCAGCCACGATCCTCCCCACCTCCATGACCCAAAGGCAAATGGAGGCGGAGCGAACTAGCGACACCACCGATGGAAGTATGGGAAACCTAAATCGCCTAGGAGTCTCTTCTTGGGGAGGAGGAAAACACTAGATGGATGAGTTTTGATTGTTAATTCGATCGTATCACATCGATCAATCAAATGATAACTTGTGCTTTACTTCATATGTGCCTATTGATTGAAATACTCCCTTGACATCTTGGATTGAACTGTTGTTTATGATACTTCATGAGGTGATAGTGATTAACCAGTGGGTCACAATCAAGACTTAATTTTAAACTTCTTACGCTTATTTTTTATTTACTAGCAAAACGTCCCGTTCATTGCAATAGAGAAAAAAAAATTCATAATCTTCAATGCCAATACCCACATTTAGCTGCATCAGCGAGATACAATATCACTCTCATTTTTGTGAAATCGGAACAAATTTTGAAAATCATGAACAATTTTTTAAACTCGTCAACATATCTGAAATCAAGGACATTTTTACTAATTTTTAAAAAAATTCTAAAATTATGAACATTTTATACTACTTGCACAAAAAAGTAAAAAAATGATAACAATTTTTAGAACATTTTTCTTGAATAGGCGAACTTTTCTAGAATCGATGAACAATTTTTTGAAAATTGTTTGGTGGAACAAAATTTGAAATTCACAAACATTTTTTTGATTTAACACACATTTTTTGAATCCGCAAACATTTTATGAATGCATAAAATATTTTCTAAACCACGAACAGTTTTTGAATTTTTAGGGTATTTTTTGTTTCATGAACATTGGCGAAATTTTGTTCAATTTAATTAACATTTTTTAATAGACAAACTTTAAAAAAATCATGAGCATTTTTTGATTTCCTGAACATTTATTTCCAAAATTGCAATATTTTTTGAATATGCGAACATTTTCTGAATCCAGAAATTTTATGAATTATTAAACATTTTATTTCAAAATTATTATTTTTATTTTAAAAATTGAATTCAAATATTACATAAGCTGTAAAAAAGACGGAAAATAAAAATAAAAATGAAAGACAAAACTTAAAAAGTATGCCGCCCAAACATGGGCCTGCCCAAACTGGCGCTGCATTCTTCTTCCAGCACACAGAGCGCAGTACAGAAGATGCCTACTGCATGGGCCGGTCCAACAGGGATTTCTCTGTGTGAAACGTTCTTATCATTTATAGGTGGCATCGATGGGTAATTTTTTGGCAACTTTGGGAATAATTTCGGAGACATATCGCCAGAATCAATAACCCATTATTATTAGGTATATAGATAGATTTTTGTTAGCAAATTATCTAACATGTTGTGCTGAAACTAAGCTGTGATCAACCAAATTTCACCACTAAAAAGACTGACATACAAAACATTCAAGCATTCTGGAAACTAAAACTAGGTAGCATTAAATAAAGTAAAGATGCCTTGCTAGATTGTTCAGGAAGAGAAAAAAAGTTCATGCTGGTCGTAACTGGGAGTATCATATTATTATCATGCATATGATATTACCTTCCTAATGCATAGTACTCCCTCCGTTCCTAAATATAAGTCTTTTTAAAGATTCCATATAGAACTACACTCGGATGTATATAGACGGCTTTTAGAGTATAGGTCCACTCATTTTGCTCCGTATGTAGTCTATAGTGGAATCTTTTGAAAGACTTATACTCCCTCCGTTCGGAATTATTTGTCACAAAAATGGATAAAAATGGATGTATCTACAACCAAAACACATGTAGATACATTCATTTTTTAGACGAGTAATTCCGAACGGAGGAGTATTTAGGAACGGAGGGAGTATCATATAGTACTTTATTTATTATCATGCATTGCACATGATAGTATAACATTTATTATGATACAGTGTCATAATATGATACCCAACCCTCTCTTTCTTTATTTAATTCTATGTCACCTTATTAAAATTTCCTAGTTTGCATGTATGATACTAATTATTGTACTCCCATTACGACAAGTCTAAGCGTATATTCGCCAGGGTGATGAAGCAATTCCTAGGGTTACAAGTGGCAAGTTACAAGAAAAAAACAGAATAATGGAAAAGAAAAGAAACAAATTCAAAAGGAAAGAAAGAAAACGCTTCATACCCTAATAGGGCCGGCCCAAGTGCGAGCGGAGCACTCTGACCACAAGCTTCCGTTTCCTCCAGCATAGTCTACAGCGGCGCCGCGGCGGCGATGGAAGGCCGCCGACGTCTCCGGTGCTGCTCGAGATCCGGCGGCCGGAGGCGACTCGCCGTCAGAAACTCGATCCATCTATGGATACGACGCCGACTCAGGTCTCCGGCAGGTCAGCGCCAAGTAGCGAGTTCACGGACTCGGACAATCCCCTTTCATTCCCGTAATTTTCAGTTTCCACATTTCTCAGGTATCGTTCTTGTACTGCTTGACCAATTCAGGAGTAATTTTTCCCTAGCGTTTTCATTCGTTGAAATAGGGTAGAGATTGTATATATGGAGTATATAGATAGACAAATACATGTTATCTAGATTGTACCGTGTTCCGTGGCCGGCACTAATGCTCACACTAATGATAAGATGATGAAACTGAGCCGTGCTCCTGTAAGAACCTGATTGGAAATTTACTACTGTCTTCAAGGTCGACTGTGCTGCGTCGATGTGTAGTACACTCTCTGTTCCTATACATATAAAAACAGAGATAGCACAATCCTAGCATTAGACAGTTATGCAAGTTGATTATAAGATAACCTTGTACTCCCTCCGTTCCTAAATATTTGTTTTTCTAGACATTTCAAATGGGCTACCATATACGGATGTATGTAGATATATTTTAAAGTGTAGATTCATTCATTTTGCTTCGTATGTAGTCAATTGTTGAAATATCTAGAAAGACAAATATTTAGGAACCGAGGGAGTAGTTGTAAAGCAACCCAGTGATTAACAGAGAGGTTGTTTTTTACAGGGGATACCTGAGAGGTTACTGAAGAGACATTATGCTTGCTTTTGTTCATTTTGAAACTGGGCCAAGTCTTTATTCAGCTTTCAGCTTAGTTCTGGAGACATTATGCTTTGGTTTGTTTTTCTACCTTAGTAGGATATAGTTATTTGTTTATTATTACAAAAATATTGAGAAGACTGAGACGTGTACACCAACTATTATTAGCCGACATAATTATAGTAAAGCGATCCATATATAGGTGTCTACTCTGACTGGACTTAGTGGTATCGTGTTTGCTATTCTTCAGGTGCCTGAATTTTTTTTTGGTCTATTCCGTGTTTGCTATTCTTCGGACGCCTGATTTTTTTTTGGGTCTATTTCGTGCACGCGCAGAGCACCGAGCCTGAGATGGGGATACATAAACTCGACACCATGACAAGTTTCACTTGCCATCAATAGAATGAGATGGATGGTTTGTTTCCTGTTACCTGACCATTCTAAATAGTACATGTAGATTTTAGTTTCTTCTGTTGTACATGAACCTTGCTTCTCTGTTTGCTGTCTGTTCATTGTTACAAAAACAATGAGCCTGAGATGATGGCGCGCGGTCGACTGAAACTGTTTTTTTTTTCAGTCGCCCTGGACAGATAGTCACCCCACCCCATATAGCATTATATATGCATGCTCAGGCATCTCTCTCAACTGGTACTTGTTTATGTATCTTAGCTGTCTTCAAGGTCTGTGTACATATTTATCCTGCAGCCTAGCTAGCCTTCTCTTAGTTGATTCCCTTTGCTGGTTAACGACTGCCAAAGTTGCTAGGCCTAGATGAGTTCTGTTGTACATGAACCTTGTTTCTCTGTTTGCTATTTGTTCATTGTTCGCCAGAAACAGTGAGCTTGCGTTCAGCTAATTAATTACTTCAGCATTGTGATACACCTGAACATGACGAGAAAAAAGAAAAACCTAGAAACATGATAACGCCGCTACTTATACCGATATCTTAGCAGTGTTTGGTGACAGCTATAACTCCCTAGTCGTCCAGTGTAGCTATAACTTAATCAATGGATATGCATGTAGGCCAGATCCCCGTTTTGAATAGAGACATTCAGCACTACACATGATACTTTCAGTGGATGCTGTTACTGTTCAGGCGTAAGTTATGGACATGTAAACATGAAAAAAGAAGTTGATAGTGAAGTTAGTTGTTACAGGCCATGTCAATCTAACTTCAAACAATATGTACACTTTTTTCTTTTGCAAGGAACAACATGTACACTTCATTGAAGGTCGTTACTGTCAGGCGTAAATTAAGTGCCTGCTTAACGGCTAATTATTTTTGACAGGATGTTTACACGGCTACTTTATTGGGCACATTCTGCAGAGCAGGACGGTGCATTAATCAAATCATATTGTCAGCACTAATTAAGGAGCAAGGTATGAACCGTGGCCGACCTGATCTTGTCTTCACGTGACGGCGACCCAACCACCCTGTTTCTCCGGCGAGTCCTCCGCCGCTGAATAGAAAATGACACCCATCCCGTGTCCTCTGTGTTTCCCCACGCTACCCTAGCCTCACATCAGATCTGGAGAGTAGATCAGAGAGCTCCCCCCTCGCACTCACCTCGCCGGTGGTGCTCACCCCTGCAGCTGCAGGGTCTATGTGCCTAGAGACCCTGCAGCCTGAGCCTAACCAGCCTTCTCTCCCCAACGCTTGCAATGGCGGATCCTGTTAGCATTAGTGCTGCTGTAGGATGGGGCGTAACCGCAGTAGGTTGGCTCGCCTCACCCATCATTCCTAGGCTCCTCAACAAAGCTTTCACCGTCCTGGATTTCAACGCGACGGAGAAGCTGAAGATAATTGATATGCAAGTTTTACAACTGCAGCGGGTGATGGAAGTTGTCGATGAGAGCACCTACAGGGCTCGCTTGGAGCCACTGTTAGACAAGCTTAGATCTGCTCTCTACGAGGCCGAAGACATCTTGGATGATGTTGAGTATCAGCGCCTCAAGAAGCAGACCCGAGATGCCAAGTCATCCGGCAGTAAGATAGATTCACTGAAGAAGACTCTTTGGTCTGCCATGCCAAGATCCCTCCTAAAAGATAAGGTATTTCCCTGCCTTCATGCTTGGATGTGCTCATCTTCTTATGTATGACTTGAATTTTGAAATGCATTCTCACTTGTTTGCCACAATTATGTAAACTAGTAGATGTTAAGATCTTGAAATGCAGTAAGAGGTACGACACAGGTTGTTAGGAAAAAATAGGATTAGTTTCTTTGGAGCCAAATGAATCAAGAGTTTATATAGTATTTTCTTAAGAGTAATTAGCCCAATTACCAGGAATAACCAAAGTTTGTCCCACTCTTCCACTAGCTAGCACCGTCTTCCACAAGTTCCTTCTTTTACTAAAGGATTTCTAAAAAGTAAAAAAACTCTCCTTCATACTGTAGTGTAGAGTAGCACCGCCATCATCTACATGACCACTTGTTCCTTCTTTTACTAAATCTTTTTTTCTCTCCCCAAGCCCAATCTAGAGGAGCATGAGAAGCAGCAGTGGTATGAAGGAATCGGTTTATTACTTTATTTGCAAAAATCAGTTAGATATGTCCAGTCCGAGTAGTACTTGTTTGTCCATGTACGTGTGTGGGCTTGTGCTACTCCTGTTAGAAATGCTTTGCCTGTATGGTATTACGAGTTGGTGTTAAGTAGAATTTGAGTGATACATGCCTCTAATTTCAAGTTGCTGCATTCGTGTGCTAACAAGTGCTATTTGGTTTTTGCAGGAGAGTGGTATGTCAAAAGTGGAATTGAAGAAGAGCCTAGAGAAGATAGAAAGTGCTATAAATGATGCGTGTGAAGTTTTGAAACAACTGAACTTGCCAGGTGGACGTGACGATGATGGGAGGCGAGCTGTTGCTACCAATTCACGCCGTGCAGTTACTACTGCAGCCCCTCCGATAGGAGTAATTGGTCGGGATAAGGATCGTGACAAGATAATCGCAATGCTTCATGAGAAGGAAGACCTTTGTCAAGCAAATACTGCCAGTGATACATGTTATTCTGTAATTGGCATTCATGGCATGGCTGGGGCAGGGAAATCAACACTTGCACAGTGTGTTTATGATCATGAGAAGAAGTGTAAGCAAGAAAAATTGGAAGGCCATTTCGATATTGTCATGTGGATTCATGTTTCTCAGCAATTTGGTTTGGATTCCATTTTTAGGGAGATGTTTGAGGGGGCTACAGGGAAAGCATGCGATAACTTCAATAGTCGTAACGTCCTGAAGGAAAAACTGGAGGATGAACTGCGTGGGAAACAGATTTTGCTGGTACTGGATGATGTCTGGTACAACAGTAGGAATTCAGGAGACCGTGAAGAACTACAAATGTTAATTTCTCCGCTGAATGTTGGAAAGGCAGGAAGTAGAATCTTGGTGACCAGTCGAACTGAAGCTGGATTAGTAGCTCTGGGTGCTGTAAAAGAGAGATGTATTCCAATATCTGACCTGGATGATAAAGTGTTCCTTGAAATGTTCATGCGTTATGCACTTCGAGATGCAAGGGTAAGTGACCACGATCGGTTAATACTTGAAATGATTGGAGCGGACATTGCGAGAAAGCTGAAGAGATCACCACTAGCAGCCAGAACAGTGGGTTCACGTCTCCGTGAGATACAAACTGTCCAGTTTTGGAGGAGTCAGAAAGATAGGGATCTTATGAACGACACAATGGGAGCTCTGTGGTGGAGCTACCAGTATCTTGATGAGCAGGTCAGGCGATGCTTCGCTTACTGCAGTATTTTTCCCAGGGGATATCGTTTGAACCGTGATGAGTTAGTTAAGTTGTGGGTGGCTGAAGGGTTTATAAAGACTAGTAAGGCCGAAGAGGAAATGGAAGATGTTGCTCAGTATTACTTTGATGTATTGTTGTCATCCTCATTTCTGCAATTCGGAGGGAAAGAATACTCATATGGACATGGCCGTAAGGTTGATTACTTTACAATTCATGATCTGCTGTGTGATTTAGCAGAGGAGGTTGCCGGAAGAGATTGCTTCAGGATCGAAAACGGCTTCACAGGAGAAGTTCCTGAAGATGTCCGCTATCTTTTTGTTCGGACTTATAATAGAGAGATGCTTACTGAGAAGATATCTAAATTGCAAAATTTACGCACCCTCATCATTGATGAAATGATAAGGGTTCCATCAAACGAGTGCAAAGTCTTTGAGAATATTTTCACTATGTTTACGGGGCTGCGGAAATTGCGGGTACTGAATTTGCAACTTGGTCTTGATATGTTCTCATTCCCAGATTCAATTGGTCAGCTGAAGCATCTGCGTTATTTTGCTTTTCGGGTGTCTCCACTTACGAAGCTAACTTTACCGACAGTTTTTACCAAGCTTTACCACATTCGGGTGGTACATTTTGGTTTGTGTGGCAGTTTGATGCCTTCTAGTGGTGAAGATATGATGAACCTAGTCAACTTGCGCCATGTAATAAGCATTGCAGATATGGAATTTCCAAACGTTGGCAGATTGATATGGCTCCACACGCTACCATTCTTCACAATAAGGAGGGAACGGGGGTATGAGCCACATCAGCTGAAACACCTAAACAAGCTTGAAGGCAAATTATTGATCAATGGTCTTGAGAATGTTGAGAGCAAGGAGGAGGCTCTTGAAGTCAATCTTGCTGGCAAGGAAAAACTCAGAAAACTGGTACTCGAATGGGATGATGATAGCTGCAGTCCAGAAGTTCAAGCAGAGGTTCTTGAGGGTCTTTGCCCATCAAAGTATCTTGAAAGATTAGATATTAGCAAGTACCATGGTACGAGGTTACCGAAATGGATGATGGGTAAGCATAATGGCGGGCCAAAGAATTTGCAAGAACTTACATTCAGAAGATGGATCCAACTAGGACCTGCTCCTGACCTTGGGGCTTTCATTCATCTTCAGTCGCTAATTCTTTCTAACTGCAACTGGAATGCCTTGTCAGGCAACATGGAGCACCTCACATCGTTCAAGACACTGGAGATCGAGTCATGCAAGAATATAGGGTCGCTTCCAACACTGCCCAAGTCTCTTGAGCGGTTTAAAGTCATGGGCTGCAACTGGGATGCCTTACCAGGCAATATGGAGCACCTCACAGCGCTCAAGCAACTGGATATAAATTCATGCAAGAATATACTGTCGCTTCCAACACTGCCCAAGTCTCTTGAGGAGTTTAACGTCAGCAACTGCAGCAGGGATGCCTTACGAGGAAATATGGAGCACCTCACATCGCTCAAGAAATTTGAGATCAGGTTATGCAAGAATATGCGGTCGCTCCCAACACTGCCCAAGTCTCTTGACGAGTTTAGAGTCATGTACTGCAGCTTCAATGCCTTGCCAGGCAATATTGAGCACATCACATCACTCAGGAGACTGGATATACAGTCATGCGAGAATATGCGGTTGCTTCCAACACTTCCAAAGTCTCTTGAGGAATTTATCATCTTTAACTGCAGCTTGGATACCTTACCAGGCAATATGGAACACCTCACAGCACTCAAGAAATTGAGTATCAGTATCTGCAAGAATATACTGTTGCTTCCAACACTGCCCAAGTCTCTTGAGGAGTTTGTCGTTACAGACTGCAGCTGTAATTCCTTACCAGGCAATATGGAACACCTCACATCACTCAAGAAGCTGTATATACACTCATTCAAGTATATGCAGCCGCTTCCAACACTGCCCAAGTCTCTTGAGGAGTTCAGCATTGCACACTGCAGCTTGAATGCCTTACCAGGCAATATTGAGCACCTCACATCACTCAAGGAGCTGAATATACGGTCATGCAAGAACATGCGGTCGCTTCCAACACTGCCCAGGTCTGTTGAGAAGATTACAGTAAGTTACTGCAGTGATGAGTTCACACAATCTTGTGTAACGACTGATGATCCAAACTGGCAGAAGATTGAGCACATTCCAAAGAAAACAATTAAATTCTATAGTGAAAAAGGTCCACAAAACAGGTATGTAGTTAGATTCTTTTGATGTCTTCATTTTCCATTTTTTGTGTTCAATATATGGTATTGCAACTATCAGCCGTTAGGATTGCTGTCATGTTTCTTATTCGTTTGACAACTGTCAGTTAGCCGCTCTTTGGTTGAGGACGGGAGATGAAGTCGAAGTCGAAGCAGTCAGACTCTTGCTAAATCTACAGGCTCCCTTACTGGATAACCTGTTCGCTGGGTTATGCCAACTTCAGTTTGTTGAATCTTGCGTGATTGCGAGTGAAGTGGTGCTGCCCTCTTACTCTCACAAACCATTGGCACTGCAAAATGCCATGTCTCCATGCAGTCATGAACAACAGGATTTATGAGTCTTTCACTATATATGGATTTATGAGCTGTTTACTGTATATGGATGTAATAATGTGGAACGATGGAACACCGGATATGATTTGCTTCCTATGTATGATTTGTAACATTGCCGTATGCATGAATATGATGATCCCCAAAGAGTTAGATTCTTAGCTATATATATGATTTGTAATGGTTTGGAATGGTGATCACTGAATTTGTTCATTTCCTGTCGTTTGTAGCATTGTTCACCAAAGTATCTGATTTGTTTGCTGGAAATCAGGGGCTACAAAGCATGGTATGACTATGAGGTTACCCGATTGGGTGAAGCTAGCCGCGGGACCTGCTCCTGACATTGAGTCTTCCATTCATTTTAGGTAGTAGTAGAGTGTTGAGGCTCTAGTGGTTGCAATCAACGTGCATTGTAATTAGTGGTTGCATTTGTTTTCTACTGGTTGGGCATTCAGGGAAAGTGCTCTCACACACTACTAGAAAAATGCTTATAGGTAGACATTTAGCAGTAGCGTTGGTTAGGTACCCATCGCTACTGCTATTTAGCAGTAGCGCCGGCCAGCACAAGCGTTGCATGTTAGCAGTAGCGCTGGATTTCACAGCCAGCGCTACTGCTAATGGGCCACGCTCTCGGGCCTCCATTGCAGCTTTAGCTATAGCGCTGGGCCGCCTACCCCGTGCTGCCGCTAAGCCCACCTCTTTGCTTCCTCCCGCGCCGGCCCGCGCACCACCCCTCCCCTCACTCACACTCACACGCTCACACCAGATCGAATCCCTCAGTCGTCCCCTGATCCGGCCGCCGCCCCCGCATCCTACTCCGGCCGCCTTCCCCGGCGC